TTGATTAAGCACCCCCCTTGAATAAGCACCCCACGTCTTCCCCTAAATTTGAAATAAACACCCCGGGCACTAATTCGAGGACTTACTGTACATGTGCAAGCCATCAACTGGAGCTTATCCCAGTTTCCATAGCATATATTTCTACTTATCCCCTGGATGAGATGCTAGTCCACCACAGGGTTACCCTCAGCATTAAATTCACCAGTACCCATTTGTACACATGGGTGGAGAGAGGCACTGTGAGAGTTAAGTGTCTTGCCCAAGAACAGAACACAATGTCCCCAGCCAGAGCAGAAACCGGGCCACTAGATCCGGAGTCAAGTGTACTTAATGTCAGGCCACCGCACCTCCACCCTGGATAAACATAGCTTACCAATAACTAAAGGTAAATTTGAAATGGTCTGTCTTGAAAACTAAGACCCAGGCTTCTACTATCAGAATGTTTGAATTGTTGGTTTGTTGACTTGCTATATAATGTACATTGTGTATATGCTGTGGTTTAAATACATCTTTGGTGACGATAGAATTATTTTATTATCTTGCACTAAGAGGTCACCTGTACAGCCATCAATGTTATCTTCTCGCAGGTCATAGTAGGTATCTTTACATGACATGCAACGCAGTCCTTCAACATTCTTCTTACATGTACAAAGACCTTCTTCATTTGGCTCACATACATTAGAACTATTCACTGTACCAGCTGTGAAACAAGTGCATTCTACAAACAAGACAAACACAATAGTTAACACTGCATCATTACTTCAGGCAACAGTGCCTTATAACTGAAATACACAGGGCTTGAAAAAGTGCTGTCTGATCGTCCGGGACAAGAAGATCTTTCCCGCCAAACAAGTCTTTTTCCATTCTCACTTCTTCATTCTCCCAATGGGCTAGTCTGCGAAAACAATCATCCTTCTTCATTCCCCGCCCCATGCAAGAGCCAAGACAAATTGCCACACAGCTAAATAAAAGACTTGCCCGGGGCAAGAAAAATTTGAAAGCTGCTTGTATGAAGGGCGAGCTGGAATTCAAGATTTTTTTTAGCGCTAAACGCAACTTACAGTAAAAAATGGTTTTGCACTTTAGGATATATTGCTGTTGTAAGAACAATGTAAAGCTGTCTACTGTATATGATTTTAAGACCAGTCATTCATTTCTGCTTTGCATGGAATTTAAGCAGGGTGGCAGTGAGTGGTTCAAGTAGAGAAAGGATATTCTCGAGGACTGGTTACGGCAAAGTTTTAAAATGTGGTTGGTAGAGTGGATATAGCACTTCCTAAGGAAACCAAAGTTATGTTAAGTGCACTTGGTTTAAGAAAGTGTCTTCTTACTGGCAAATATTTAACAGTGATAAGCTCTTCACAGTCATTGAAATCATTGAAAATTCACACCAAACTTTGAAATACCAAAAACTAATTTATGGAATCTGTATTGTCTTAAATACCTAACACTTGATTCATCACGAGTGACAAGCAATTGATGCCACAACATACACTATATGACTTGACCATCACATATGTAACTTATAAATTATTGTGCTACCTTGGCAACCAGCTGGGTTATCAGCTGATAAATTGTGATATCCAGGTTTACAAAGGTCACACCTTCTTCCCATTGTGTTATTTTTACAGATACAGTCGCCAGGTTCCTGAAACAAGCAATTTATAAAATGAAATGTACTAACCACAGTGTTTATAACGGTCAAGTTCATGTACTGATGTTTTTCTTTTTCTTTTGATTGGTGCAATATAAAGCATGTGTACACATGTTTTGATTTTCTAGATCCTTCCTGGACTGTTCAGTTTGCAGTTCCAGAGGAAATTTGAGTTCAGACATCTTTCTTCACATTATACATGTACACAATCCCAAATTTCCTTTCAAAACAGTGGTTTGACAGACATGTGCAATTTACCATAACAGTCTGTAATGGTTCACAAATCACTGATATTACTGAGAAGTCTTATCCAAGCTGGAAAATACTGCAAATCATATACATTCTGTTCTAAAGATCAATGCAGGTCTGTTGATCAGTGCTCACCATTCCGGGACGTGGAGGAGCCGTATTCTCATCTCTTAAACAATCAAGATATAATACTCCTGGAAGAGTTGCATTTTTAGTCCCTGCGACGCTGCAGTTACAAACTAAAAGGAACAAATTAAAAAGAAATCAATACGAAAAACACAGTGTAAATATCATGAACTGTCAGAGCTGGTTGGTTTCTGGCTATTACATGTACATCTTAAGCAAATGACTACAACTTGAAGGCAAACTGAATTGCTGTTCCCCATCTGGTGTACATGTAGGCCATGAAAAAGGACTTGCACGCAAATCATGAAAGTCGGCAGGACTTAATGAAATCTATTTTTAAACAATTTCATAACATGCCAAATTGTAGAACACAAAGAATTAATTCACCGGAGACACATGCTTTACAAAGTGGATGTAAACTTGAATATGCAATTATACCTTTACAAGCATCTTTAATTGATTGCGATGTATTTCTTGGTCGATAGAAAAAAGGCGAACACTTTTCACAATTTATCCCTTCAGTGTTGTCCTAGAAGGATATACAATGCAATAAGGATCAGTACAGTCCTATTGCATTCTTATAGTTATAGAATGATATAATATCATATAATATACTGTCTTATAAATAAAGTGGCTCACAATGGTCTCCTGCATATTTCAGCACTTCTGCTTTGTTGAATCAATACAATACAACCACTGAGTCACGCACAAACAGAATTGCGTGAGCGATGCACAGCACTTCTGTTTTTTTTTTCCTTCAAAATGCTTGTAAATCCAATCAAGCAAACTTATCATAGCCCACATACCCAGGATCCATCTAGTTCCAAATGCTGTCATTCTGGTAGAATTCTGTATTAAGTGTTTGTGTTAGTTCTCTTTCTCCTAGCCTAACTTCCTGTAGTATTATTGTACTCATGATCTATTTGGTTGTTATATTCTATTCAGGACCAAACTTGTAATAGTGCAATCATACAATAAATCAGACAATATTTAAAGTAGTGATCCAGTTTAACTCCCACTTGAAAAAATTGGCTTCTATCAACTGTGACAGTGAGGTGATAACACTCTCAGTCGAATAAACATTGATTATACCAAATGTACCTCGCAGTTTTGACAGACTCCTCCACCAGAAAAGTTTCCATGGATGTCTAAACTCATATTCATCCGTGCAACTGTTTCATTATAAACACACACTGAACTGTGGCCATGACAGTTACAAACTGTAAACAAAAACAGCACCCTAATTTCAAATTGATTTTACTAGATAGGGTTGAATTAATAATAATAATTAACAAATATTTGAGATAAGACAAATTAACTGAAGTAGCAAAGTGTTTAACTGAAATAAAATATTTACAATAATTATTTACTGTTTTAAGCCTTACGTTGACATACTGCATCCTTGTCAGCAAACAGAGGACCCTTGTTTCCTGGTTTCCATGGATACTGATTATAAGCGGGACAGCACATGCCGCAATCTATACCACAAGCTCCCTGCTGGCATTTACACTGATTGTCACCCAGTGTGGCATTGTAAAAACACTCAGACCCATTTCCCTGTCCATTGCACAGGCAGTAAGCATCTACCTCGACTTCTCTAACTGCATAGTGATGCTATGAAGAATACAACATCACATTGAGTGTCAAGGAACCAAAACCAGAGTAATCACTCTGGCCAATAACAAGGGACTGACAAACAATCCAATGAACCAATCAGTCTGAATCCAAACATGAAGTACACGCAAATTGTACATGAAAACAGCAAAAAAAGAGAGGAAAAGCATGCAAATCAGTCACAATTGGTTTAACAGAATACTTCTGATTGGATGACAAAGTGACAAATCTCTTTCAAAACTCATGAGATTGAGATTTGACTGCCCATATCAAGGAGACCAAAAGTGATAAATTTTCTTATTATCCAACTGCAGCGAATACCGTCCAAATAACAGTTACTGTACAAATATACAGCGATATTGTACAGTAGAAAACCTGTTTGCCGTACAGGTCGGCGCACGCAAGCAAAACTGTGACCGTCTCTCCCTCTTTCATTGATAAATTCATTGACTACAGTAGTTTGATAATAAATCTCTTATTAGATGTTTTGGTGTGTAGCATCGCTTTATATTTTTACTCATCGTTTGTATTTTGACTCGCCCTACAGGCTCATCAAAATATGGCACAACTTGTGAAAATATAGTGCAATACTACACACCAAAACATCTAACAAGATATATATATCTTGGTTCCTCCTTGATTATCCAGAGAGTTGGTGGTTGTGATATTCCTCTATTCCTATCACTCGGTAAGACACCTCTCCTTGGAAGAAAGCAGATAGTCAAATCCTTTAACCCGTCTTCTAAAGACAACTGGATCACGCAATGTAGTGTTGTGAAATAAATATACCAATTAAAAGAACTTGGAAACTCCATGATAACAGGTTTATTCTTACCCATCTCTCAGCATATAGATCAAACATCAGGTGAAGTGACATAAAATCCAGCCGTATATTGGTAACATTCATCCATTGCTGAGACAAATACAAATGTACAATGTACAGTGCATTAGTCATTAGCTTCATACAGAACACTGATCAGAGCTATATTACAGTCAAACCTCTATTACACAGCCACCCCTTATTAAGAGGCCAGTTACCAAAGTCCCGAAATCATTGTCAGTAAAATGCTGTAAATAAAACCCCCTACTAACTGGCTACCTTTGTTGAGTGGCCACAGCCACCTTTTGATCATTCCGATGAGGGTTTTCCTATTGCCTTTACCCCTCTTACACACCCACTCAAAATTTAATACACATAGTTTGTCTTTTTTTGGAAAAGGTAATAACAGATAAGAGTCCAATTAAGGGATGATTGATAAAAACATTCAAACACACATTTATCATGATTGTCTTGATGTGATTCCATATTCACTAAGCAGTTAACTCAATGGTAAAAAATATTCAAAGTCCACCAATCCCTATTACGCGGCCACCTCCTGTTTCCCCAAGGGTGGCCACTTTATTTTGTAAAATATTAATAGGATGTATTTATTTTTGTAGTACCTACACATGCAAATTAAAATAATTGTGCAGAGACTGCCGCTGTCAATATTCTTCAGCTGTTATTTTTGGAAGGTTCTTTAAACCTCTGTTCACGCATATTCTCTAGTTCTTAAATATTCCCAGAGGCATGTCGCAAATGAGTGAATTGCATAATTTTAACCATCAATCATCAATTATACCATTACCGAAAATCCTTGAATTAGCGCCTCCTCTCAAATAAACAGCCCTCCTATCTAATCCTAAAGTAATCCGCTCTGATCAGCGTGGTTCGTAAAAGCAGCAATGCAATGTTGCAACAAATTGTATTGTACCTTCTGGAACAGAAGGATCGATTGCCTTCCACCTCGACTGGGTTCCACAGATTTAGGATCTCCTGGTTGAGCACGATGTTATCGATACAGCCGTCAAAATACCGGTCAGTCTTGTTTATCTGGAAAGAAAAAGAGTGTCATCAAGACACGTTGATTACATGATAACGTCTTATGCATTGGCCTCCTTCGTAGACATTCTTTCAGCTCGAAGCGCAATCGTTGGAAAAGTTACGTGACGAACAAAAACAAAGCAGTTTCCGCGTAGAAGGCCAACACATGATGCGAACGTAGCTTGCTTATGTTTTCAAAACCCTTTCATGAAATACTGCAACAACAACAACAACAACAACAACAACAACAACAACAACAACAGCAAGACTTTTATTTCACCCCAAAGTTAGAAGAGAAGAAAAATTTACAATGTTTTACCAAAGCAAACAGCAACCTAAGAGTTGCAAAGGACACTTGTGTCGCCATTGTCTCAGTCTCCCATTCGACAATCGCTCGCTCCAAACCGCGCGAGGTCGCAAAAAGATAACGTCTTAAGTTGATAAGGATGGACCAAGAAACTCTAACAGAGTTCACTCACCATAACTCCATCAGGAAGACCTCCAACATGAATATGGTCATCACTGCTGAAGTCAGTGGATAGGAATGCGGGGATTATATTTGTGGTACCCTCGTAGGTGCGGCTGAAGTTCTTACTGTGATCCGTTACCGTCAAACGTCCTACCTTCTCGTAACTACACGAATGAAGAAAACGTGCAAAGTGAAAAGTGGTTACGCACATACTAACTATTGATAGTAATATAAACCAATGCCAGGTGCATTACAAAGCTGTGAGGATGAATAATGATGGGTCAGGTAGCAGCTATCGTAAGGTCTCACATGAATGGCTCAATATCCTTTGAGAGGACAATAAAACAAACAACAGAAACAATGCCAGCTAGCCCTAAAACAGTAACAGCTGCTGCAATGACGACAACTAGAATTACAAGCTTACGAGAACTGCTACAGTTCTGATGATGATGGCAACTACAGGAAAGAAACAAAATATTGTCAAATTTAAAAGCGCAAGGTCCAAGTCTTCCTGTTTGGATTAAGTCCGTTGAAAATTTTGTAAAACCTCCCACATTAGGAATATCTTTTTTTCTGTTATTTAATTACAGAAGTTTCTTTTTGCAGACTGTTTGTTTTCTTTACTGTATAAAACTAATTATTTAAGACTATAACACATTTTCTCGGCATATAGAGGTGTTTTGGGATTTTTTGTGTAATCAAAGAACTCATTTCCCATACTGATAGGAGAGAAACCTCATTGTTAAGTTTGGGAACACTAAATATGGCTGCTGTGACGTCACGTAAAACGCGCACAGCAAGTAACATTCCACTGACCGTGTCGCATATGCTGTATACCAGTACCCAGGCCGCACTTTGACTGCCCAGTTGATGATGTCAATAGGTCCTGTACCAAGGTTGTACTGGAACTTCACATATGAGCCACTCTCCAGAGTAACAGCCACGCTTCGAGCCTGTGATTAACAACGCCACACGTAAATAAAGTGTGAACACACGGTTTGAGTGACGCTCCTGACAAGTACATGACAGGTGATTAAGACTACGACGAGCGTGACATAAGGGTTGGCTGTTCCAGCTTGAGACATGTGGTTGCACTTAACTGCTAATTCAGTGAACTTAGTTTTGGCACTCTTGTTGTTCCACTACACGACGCCAGAAGGCAATATAATGACAACAAAATATTACATCGACTATCCAGCATTGTCCAGTTTGGAATAATTCCAACTGATACAAATCAGCACTAACTAATTTCCAATGGTCTATACACTGTAACGCAACACCAGTAAACAGTCACGTGCACCTCCCCACCAAGCTCTCGTATCATGAGCTTAGGTTGCCTGTGCGTAAATTGTCAATAACATCAACTTCATGATATGAATTATTTTAAAATATTATCAGCTCACCGCACTACTGGATCCATCTGACAAGTAAAATAGTGAGCCCTGTACCCGTGTAGCCCTGAAATCCATTCTGATTTCAGTGTACTTCGTCTCGTTGATCAAGCGGGGTGGAGGGCTGTATTGCAGTGTTGTGCTTCCTTGAACATTCAAAGCAAGGCGAATCTAAACGCAAATTACAATTAGTACAAAGTTCATCAAATCTGCCAACTCCCTTGAACGTTGACACGCATAACCTTTAAATCACAGAAGAGTTTTTTTGACTAAGAGAAGCATTCAATTTATTCTAACCATCAACAGCAAAATCACTACCAATCTTTGTCCCGAGAGCACTTTCCCGCGCTTATTGTCGGTTGCACAGTTTAGCTTCGAATTTTGATTGGTTCATTCCCTCAAATACATTTGATTGGCTAGTTGTGATTTACAAGTCGAAAAATTACGTGATCAGAAGTTAAAGAATATTTTTGCAGCTGGCTGTAAAGCGCTGGAAAAATTGGTAGCAGCCGAAACGCGGGTGGATTTGTCTCACACTCGATTGGCTGAACAAACCCCCTGTACTCTGATTGAATAAAGTAAACCGTACGAGTTAACATAAAAAACCACAGTTAATTCACGCACATTTGTTTTTGAAAAAGCCGTCCTTTTACGCATTCACAAGTTAGAAGACGCTTTACCTTGGCGACATATTCTCTGGCTCTCCTCAGCTTTTCCTCTAGAGCTGACATATTTTGTCTCAATTGTGCTTGTAAGTTTGCTGTTATATTCTTGAGTCTGTCCGCTTCCTGCACTTTACTGTCCACGCTCCCCAATGATCGACTAACATTTTGCACTGTTAAAAGAAATCACATTGTCAAGTGATTATCACGTTAATGTCAAGTTAACTGTACTTGTCTTGGATATACCGATCGTAACAGTTGCAAGATTAGAAATGACTTCATTGTAGGGTATATGTGATAAAAAAATAACTAACAACGGAATAAAGACAGGTTACGATGTGTATATCAAATAAACTATATACGAAAACTGCAGTAAAACGAACGAAAGAAATAAGATCCTCGCAGCTCTATTTCAACTTAATCAATAAAAAAGGCCTACAGATAAAACCATTCAGTCTCCACTGGGAGCTAATGGGCTTCAACTCAAGAAGATTGCAAATCCAGTAAAAACGCTTTACCACTTAATTATGAGGCCACTGAGAGATAATCAATTAGGAGGTGTGTTTAAACTCGTGAAGTGACAGTTGGTGGAGTAAGGCACTAAAGAACGAAAGGTATTGTGGCCTTAACCTCTGGTTGAGAAGCAAAAGTTCAATTTAACATTACAGCTTTCTGAAAAAATCCAATATTGAACGAGGACGAAGATAAGTAAGATTCAAAACCAGTCACATCAACTCGCATACTTACCATTTTCAAATGCCTGAATGGTCAGCACTGCAGCCCTCTCGGTTGATTCATTAATGGACTGCATTTTCTGCTCGAGTCTGTTCACTTGATCCAATAGGGCTGGTGCTCCATTGTTCACTGGATCCGAGCGGTATATTGCCTCGTCGATGTAATCGCTAGAAGACTGGGCATCAGACACGATGGAGTGGGGACTGTTTCCGACTTCTGCAGCTTGGTCCAGGGAGTCTCGGCTGGATTGTAACGAGCTGTAAAGTGAATCAACTGACGTCCCAGTCGTAACGGCATTCATGTAAGTCTGATTTGACGAGGAAACATTGGCACGGAGTCCTAAACAAAGCGCACACATGCAAGGTTTATACTCTACGTTGTATAGTTGCTATAACACTTTATATCCACTAAATATCGCTACTCTGTTAGATCAAACGCGAACTAAATGCGGGCCAAGCCAGCTTAATTAAAACTTTTCTCAACATATAGAGAAGAGAGAAAGGGGGAAAAAAACTTGTTTAAAAGAACAGTGACATATTGCCTTTGTAATAAGGGTCACCCAAACCAAATACGGTACAATTTTGCTCCTGCTTATTGCATCTTCCTCGTAACAAGTCAAAGTCCGTAAGAGGTCTTTACTCTTGGATAGTCGTAACTTACGAGGTGTTGCTATTTTCAGGATTTATTATTAACGCCCACGAAATTTTACCGCCACTTTCGAAGTGTCGTTACTTTTTAAGGTATATTAATAACTAATGCAATGTATTTTGCCAAGCTTCGTTTTTTTTGTAGCCTGCTCATAGAAGCACAAGCTTGTAACAAAACCAATCACCATTGAGTGGTCCGAGTAAGCCAATAAACAAATGCTACCTGGTAAGTCTGCATCCCTTTTCAAAGTATTGTTGAGGAGAGTTTCGCTCTCATCTTCAGAAGTAACAACCCTTGTTCGGAGATCAGAGCTAACTAGCGTGAGATTCTCCAGCTGAAATATAACCAAATAACAGTCTGTAAATTGTTTTACGTGGTCAATGCTCGTTGCTGCTTTAAAGATAAACTGGATAGTTCATGGGCAATCTGAGAATAATCGCAACTTGTTGGAGGTTGACCAACAACGTGACTGTAAGAAGCTTGGAGGAATGATCTTACCCGGTTCATAATTTCTTGTAAAGACTCGTTGACTTGTTGCGAGGTTTCCAGTGACTGATTTCCCAGTACAACCACTTCTTCGAATGTTTTGATAGCGTCTACTGCGCGTGCTCCGTGGGACAGAGTAGTGTTGAACACACTAAACAAAAGAACACACAGAAACAAGATGTCACAAAGGGACACACCAGGAGAAGTTCAGAGAATTGACATTTTCAGGTTCAAACCGAAGAATCCAACTTTTAAGGAAATCATTCGCACTTAACCAAGCTCACCTTTGCCTTTGTCTGGCTTCAGCAGTGAGATTAGCAGCATGTTTAGTGGCATTTTCCATCACACTTTGATTCGCAGCAGATAACTCTGGTGCCGTAACTGTTAGGGAGTTCTCCAAAGTGCTGATATGCGTTTTTAAGTCGTTAAGAAGGTCACTAGCGTTCTGTTGACCAAAAACATTTGATTACCTACTAATAAAGCAACGCTTACAACCGCTTTTATTCATCGTCACCAGCTAGTCTCATCCAAAATCGATTTTTATTTTTATTCAAATCATCATAACATTACCAGCTACGTTTTAGAAAAAAAAATTCACACATGGACAAACTGGGCGGAATTTGGGAATTTTTTTCCACTTCAATAAATCATCATTTCTTGGATTTGAAGGGATATTCTTGAGCAGTACAAAACCGACGTCGTATGGTATGCCATCATTTGTATTTTCTTCGACTTGTGATTCTGTTTGGCCACATATGCATGTGTCATCATACATCAGTGTGTCTTATATGTACCTGGTAGTTGCTTTCACCATTGGAAACGTGTTGTGTGCTTGTGTTTAAGATGCCGGTGGCTGTTTGAAGAAGCTGCAGGGCCTGATCAGTTAAATCTCTTGCTTTGCTTATTAGGTTCTGTGGATGAGAGAGTAGGAAGTAATTCAATCGACGGGCCCTCACAACTTCCAATATGACACTGTTCGACTGAGAAGGAAGTGCTTAACCTTTTGCCAACAAATTACGGGCATAAAACTAAAAAAATAAGCTTCTTTCATTTGCCCAACTGCAATAACAATTCGATTCTTCTGGTTGTTCCACTAAACTGGCGGTCTGCATATTTTTGGCCCCCCGCCTGGATGGGATCTCCAAGTTACCC